AGGGACGTCACTGGCGTGCAGTGGGGGCTCGGCGAGCAATTTGTGGTGGGCGGGCCCGCGGTGGTTTGGGGGGCAGACACAGCCCGCAGCTTCTGCGATGAGAAACCCGGAGGCTTGGCTTCCCGCGGGTCACTCATGTACGCGGCCAGTGTGCGGGGTTGGGGGACTCCCCAAGACAGCGTGGGGAGCAGGGCAGGCGGGCCCACGACACCAACTTCGGGGGGCGGGGCAGGAGGGTCTGCCGCGCCCTGGGCCCTTCCCGCTGGACAGGCGGCGGCCACGCCGACAGCCTCGTAGCTGAGACTCACCCCTGCGCCCGGGAGGCCCGAGAAGCTCTGGCTCGGGCAGTTCCCTCCTGCAGCTGTTTGAGCTCGGCACGTCTGACGTCACGGCCCGCTGTGCCTGTGGCTAGTGGGCGTGTCTGGCCGCTCCCCCCCACACCCCCTGGGGCTTGGGGTCCACAGCTGGCACAGCAGGACACGCCTGGGCAGGGCTCTGCCCCGGGGGCTCTTGTTGGCCCCGTCCCACTGACTCCGGTCGGCCGTGGCCTGCGGGGAGGCTGGGTGTGCCCAGGGGGCACCGGACGGCGGCCTGCTGCAGCCGCAGCCGCCGCCTGGCTTCTCGTGCCCCGAGAGCACCGGGGTCCGTGTGCGGCCCCTCACGCCGCGCCCGGCTCCCATTCCAGGACATAGACAAGTTCGGCAACGAGATCACCCAGCTGGCCCGGCCGCTGCCCGTGGAGTACCTGATCATAGACGTGAGTGGGGGCCGGGTGGTCACCAGGGGCTTTCCGCGTCTCTGGTCTTCACTTCCTTGAGGTCAGCGTGGGCGTCACGCTTCCGGAAAAGTCCGCCCAGGGCCCCGCTGTCGGCCGGCGGGTCGGCTCACAGGCGCCACCCAGCCCGTGCCCGTCCACGCCGGCCCACGCGCAGCCCTGGGCCCGGGCACGCTGTCCTGGCCGGAATCCGGGACTCTGCCCAGCACCCCAGAGGCTCGGTTCCTCTCGAGAGCCGAGCCACGCCGCACTGGGACCTGGGGACGTGAGCCGCGGCCCGGAGGCGGCCTGGCCAGGCCGTGCCTGCTTCTGCCTGGCTCCCTGGGCACCTGAGGGAGCAGGTGGGCGGCGGGCAGGCAGGTCCACACCGAGCCGGGCTCTGCCCTCTGGGCGGTTCTGTTCTGTGCCTGGAGGGAGGCCGGCGCCCAGCCTGACAGGCCTGCAGGGAGCAGGCGTGTCTGGGCTCACTGGGCCCCTGACGCCGGGGCAGGGCGTGGAGGTGCTGCTGGACATCCCCCCCCAAGCATGGTGTCCCCCAGCGTGTCCCCGCCCGGAGCGCAGCCTCCTGCTCTGGGCACCCGCCCCCGCTGTCGGGGCCGCCACGGTCTGCGATTGCTCCTCAGATCACGACGACCTTCCCCAAGGACCCCGTGCACACCTTCTCCATCCCGCAAAATCCGTTCCCCATCGAGAACCGGGACGTGCTGGGCGAGACGCAGGTGAGCGGGGTTTGGGGTACGCTGGCCCTGGCCGCGCTGCTCCTGAACCCCGATCCCTCTGCTGGCCGCCGTGACCCCTACAGCCATGCCGTCCCTGCGAGCCGCTGCGCCGCGGAGCGCCCCCGTCCCAGCCACCAGGCTGTGCCCCGCCACGCTGCACGGCGGCCACACCAGACCTCCGGCTCCGGCGGGTCTGCTGGGGGCGCGGTCCCTGGCGCTGGCCGTGGCCAGGGCAACACTAGGGGAGGCGGCCACACAGGCCAGCCTCGGTGACGGCAAGCCCTGCCCTCCCGCTGCCCTGCAGGACTTCCACAGCCTGGCCACCTACTTGTCCCAGAACACCTCATCTGTGTTCCTGGACACCGTGTCAGACTTCCACCTCCTGCTGTTCCTGGTCACCAACGAGGTCATGCCCCTGCAGGTACGGCCCGAGCAGGACTGTGCTGGGCAGCCCCTGGGGCCAGGGGGCCGCAGGCAGGAGCAATAGCCCCAGCGGTCAGAGGCCCCTACGCTGCTGCCTCGGGCCGGCGTGTGTGCCGGGTGGCTGCTGGGGAGACCCAGGTGCTCTGTGGGGGCCTGTGCGGGGCCCAGGGTGGTGCCAGAGATGCCCCCTGAGCAGCCTCAGCCCCGTGCCGCCCTGAGGAGCCAGGGCAGAGGGCAGCCTTGCCCCTTCGGCCCGGAGCCCTGTCTCCCAGCCCCCCGATTTCCCTGGGCGGCCGCACCGGCCGTTGGGCAGCGCAAGAGGTCAGGCTCCCACCGGCACTTCCTGTTGTCGGTGCTGGGCCTCAGGTCTGGCTGGCCTCCCTCAGCCTGGCCAGGGAGGGCGTGTGCCGCATGGGGCGGGGGCGGCACTGCCAGCCCGGTTGGCACCAGTGTTGGC